CACGGACACACAGACCAGCATGGTGTGGGGGGAGCCTGCGGAGTCCCTCATGCCTGTGCTGTGCCCGTAGGCATCCCTGAGGCTGAGCAGCTGGAGCTATTCAGCACCCTGGCTGCCATCCTGCACCTGGGCAACATCGTGGTGAGAGGGAGGGACCGCCGTGGGGATGGCTGCTTCGTGGAGGTGGGCGAGAGCTCGCACCCTGCATCCCAAACCGAGCCCTGAGCTGCGCTGGCTGCAGGAGCCACACCTCAGCCACACCAGGTGACAGGGTCTGTCCCTTTGCAGCCTGCTGACCAGGCCCTGGGGCTGTTCTGCGCCCTGCTGGGTGTTGAGGCATCGCAGGTGGCGCGCTGGCTCTGCCACCGCAAGTTGGTCACTGCTGGGGAGACCTACCTGAAGCCCCTCTCCAGGCAGCAGGCGCTTGACTCCCGGGATGCCCTGGCCAAGTATATGTACGGGCAGGTCTTCAGGTGGATGGTGAGCAGGGTCAACCGTGCTCTGAGGTCAGCGGAGGGCCACCGTACCTCCATTGGCATCCTGGACATTTACGGGTAAGAGCAGCTCCCCTTTCCCAGGCTTCCTGGAAGAGCATGGTCCTGCTCCTGCATCAGCTATGGCTGCGGGTCTGCAGCCACCAACTGCTCCAGCTGGGACAGTTCCCTGCACTGGGGCCAGTTGGGTGGCTGTGCCTGGAGCTGGTGGCTGGCTGGGGTGGCTCTGCCCAGCAGTTCCCTCAGACAGGTCTCTGCTGCCCTCAGGTTTGAGATGTTTGAGCTCAACAGCTTTGAGCAGTTCTGCATCAACTATGCCAATGAGAAGCTGCAGCAGCTCTTCAACCTGGTGGGTATTGCCCAGATGTGTCTCCTTGCTGGGAGCTAGTGAGCGTGGGCCCTGCAGGTCCCTGCTGCGCTGTTGCTTTTGGTGCTCTCCACCTTGCATGTGGCTGGTGCTTCAGTGCCTGCGAACACGGGGCTCTGGGGGGCTGCTGGAGCTGGGCACGGTCCTCTCGTTTCTCCTAAAGTGCTCCTGCTCCTGGAGAAGGGCGGCTCGGGTGTCTTTATGGAAACCAAGCTACTGCCTGCAGCCTGCCTGGTGGCTTGGCCACCTTTGTCCTCTCCTGGTTCAGCGCTGCTCTGTTCTCCCTGCCCTTCAGCACGTCTTCAAGCTGGAGCAGGAGGAGTATGTGACCGAGGAGATCCCTTGGGTCTTTGTTGACTTCTGTGACAACCAGCCATGCATTGAGCTCATCGAGGGCCGGCTTGGCATCCTGGACCTACTGAATGAGGAGTGCAAGGTGGGCAAAAGGGGTGCTGGTATCGGCCTGCCATGGCTACCCAGAGCCCCCCTGCTGCCCTTCTGACCCATTTGCCTTTCAGATGCCCCAAGGCAATGATGGGAGCTGGGCCCAGAAGCTTTACCAGACCCACCTCAGCAGCTCTCACTTCCAGAAGCCCAAGAGGCCTGCG